CCGCCTAACTTTTTTTTAATTAAAAAAATTAATTAAATTAAAGTGCCTAGTAGTCATACAAATATCGCATCTAACTGCCGAGTGCCGATACTGGTAATGACATAACATCACATGACATCACATGACATACAGGGAAAATGGCGCCGAGGCGCACTCCCCCTTTTGAAGAGAAATCATCTGTAATGGTAGAGAATGCATCAGTAGTAACGTTACCATTCGGCGTATAATTTATCAATTTCATCTTGCCAACTAGTTTGTGTCTTAATATATTGTAGGTCCTACCGTCCACCTGCCAATTTCCCACTATAGCGATAATAATGTGAAGCATTATTATAACGCTGTGGCTATATGCCCGGTAGCTCTAGTACTATAGCCCGCTTACATTGACTGCCGCTGGCACGGTCAGGCGGCAGTCAATGTAAGCGGGCTAATAGTACTAAAGCACTATATGCCCGGCAGCGGGCACGGTTTCGTTTCCTAAACGCTGTGGCTATATGCCGGCAGCCGGGCACGGTTCTTCGTTATTCCTAAATGCCCGGCAGTTCTTAACCCTAACTCTAACCCTAACCTAAACTCTACAAAAACCCTAACTCTAGCCCTAAACCTAACGCGCTAACCTATTAAACCGCTAATTCCTAACTCTAACCCTAACCTGTTTACTTGAGATACGCTAAAAATTAAAAACTGCTGGGCATTTTAGGAAACAGAAAATGAGACCGTGCCGGCAGCCGTCAATATACTGCCGGCTGCCGGGCTATCAGGCCATCTGTGTTTCCTAACAGCCCGGGCAGTCCTAACCCATAAACTGCTATACCGCTAACCAAAACCTAACAAAACCCTAACTCTAGGCCCTAAAGCCTAACCCTAACCCAACCCCTAATCTAACTCTAACCTACCCTTGTTTAGCTTGAGAATACACGCTAAAAATTAAACTGCCGGGGCATTAGGACAATCGAAGACGCGTGCCGCGGCAGCCGTCGAGATATACGCCGGCTGCGGGCATATAGCCACCTCTGTTTATTATTAACCACAGCCAGGCAGCTGTTGGGCTGAGAGGGTCTATAGACTAGTACTAGTAGTAGTACTAGTTAGTTAGTAATAGGCCGCGCGTTCACTAGCGAAGTTTTTGAGCACCGAGCCTATATTACTAAATAGGCCTGTGCCAGATTTGGCCTCGAGCACGAGCGTTCCAGCCACGGACGTTTTTGGGCACGCGAGCCTAGTCTAGTCCTGAGCCAGATTTGGGCTGGCGTGAACGTATTCGGCCTATAGCGAACCGGGCCCTTTACGATGTTCGGCCCATAACAGACTCGGCGACTACGGACATGCGGCCCATAAAATATTGTGATCAATCAATTAATTTGCTTGCCAATACCTTGCAGATATCTATTGCCATATAGAGTTGTTTTCCTATCACGCATTACATGGGTCGACTTTAACCGCGTGGCCTCGGCGTGCCAATGGCCACCTGAAACGGGCGTCGGGGCCACCTGAAAACTGTCGGGTTGGTGGCCGCCTGGCGCACAATAAAAATTAAGGCCGTAGGCTCTACGCGACGGTTCCGGACGAAGAGGCCGCTAGGCTACGGTCAGACATCCATCTCACACCAGAGATCGCTTGTGACAGCGTACACACGTCAGCTTGATTACGGGCAAGCTGATTACTACCGCTGCTGGCTGATTGCCAAGTGATGTGTGTACGTGTGCCGTGTGTCCATATGCGTGTGGCGCTGCGGCGTGTGGTGTTGTACGCAGCGCGCGGATGTGGTGTGGATCGTGTGTTGTGTGCTTTGCGCGGTGGCGCGGCATGTGGTGTAGTATCGTGTGGTTTACTGGAAGCCAGATTCTGAGAATGTCAAATCCGGCAACAAGAAACAATGCTTTTACTGCCTAATCAAACAGTAAGCTGCACCTGCAATCCATTCGCACCATCCAGCTGTAGGTGTTCGTTGCGCAATTCATGTTCTCACGAGTTTGAAGACAAGTGAGTACATCACCTAGAGTGTATGTATACGAGGGGTGGTAAGGATGATACGATCGTGGTGGACGGAAGGGTGTAGGTGGGAAGGTGATAGTCAGGATGATACACGTAGAGACAGTGAGAGAGCGTGTGTAGGGAGGGAGGGTGTAGCGGATGATACACTGTACGAGACAGGCGAGCGAAGTGTAGGGAGGGGTGTAGGGATGATACACTGATAGAGAGCAAGGGAGATTGGTGTAGGGGGGAGGGTGTAGGATGATACACTGTAAGAGACAGGGAGGGGTGTAGGCCGGGAGGGTGGTAGGGATGATGTACACTGTAGAGACAGGGAGGGGTGTACGGGATTGCATACACTGTATGAGACAGGGACGGGTGTAAGATGATAGCAGCTGTAGCGACAGGAATGGTGTAGGGGGGAGGGGTGCTAGGATGATACACTGTAAGAGACAGGGAGCGGTGGTAGGGGGAGGGGTGTAGGGATGATCCACTGTAGAGACAGAGAGGGCGTAGGGGGGAGGGGGTGGTAGGGATGATACACGTAGAGACAGAGAGTGGGGTGTAGGGGGGAGGGGTGTAGGTATGTGCAAAATAGACGGCAGCAGCTGAAGCCAGACTCTGATGGATCTGACGGCCATGTCAAGGAAAATTGATTCTGATTGCCAAGCAGAAAGGTTCAGATGACAGTCAACCTGACATTGAATGATTGAAGGACAGTTTTGATTGAGCATCTTAATGACATGAGTTGCTGCTATGTAAATAAAGATACTGGCAGAGGATTTGTAAGGGCTTTTTAATATTGAAACTTATTTAACTCAGTCAGCGGTTTTGTTGTTCTTTGTTTGTTGTCGTAATCTAGTTATGTTATTGCGGATTAATGTGCCACACACATTATCCGCGCATTAGGCATAGCTTTAGAATACAAATAAATTATTTAATAATGTAGCACCGGGGCCCCGAAAATTCGCATTGGCACCTGAATCTCATAACTCAAGTGCCCGCGCGGCCACCTGAAAAAAAAAGTTAAGGCAAGCCCTGCATTAACAAGTTTAGTGGTGTTTTTATCATAATCATGTTATATGACAGTAATAATGCGTCGATCGGTAATAATGACGTTGTATCATTGTATGAGTTAAAAAGATGGCTGCGGCCATCACACACTGGCTTATGAGTAGTAAAGCCTACGAAATGATAATAATGTGCGTAGTAGTAGTGAGTAGTCGTAATAAGTAATAGTAATACATAAGCTAATAGTTATTACTCCACAGTCACTGACAGTGACTCGGTAACGCCTACTCTCGTTGGGTATATTATTGTAATAGTATGTGTATGTTTAGCTCCATAGAAACGTATTGCTAGGTTACGCATACCCTAGCTCTAATACCTAGTAGCCGCGGCTTACCATTAATGCCGGCTGCCAGCGGCAGTTAATGTGTAAGGCGGGCTATAGTTACTAGAGCTAAGCATACCCCTGACGTGTATATTTGACGTCAGTCAGCACAGCCTGGTCGGGTTTAGGTGTATGTAGCTCGCAAGAAAAGCGGTCCTTTGCTAGTGTTAGAAGACCGTGTTGTATCTTGACGTTAGTCAGCACGACCCTGGTCGAGCTAGGTATATATGTATGTTGTAATATGTAGGCTATCACCAAGTTACGCTGGACTAGGGTTCCTGTCTCCCTGACCTCTGTTTGAACCTGGGTCGTTCATCGATCTTTCTGACTAATCCTAACTCTCGTAACTATCTGATATGGTTAGGGTTACCGAGTTAGTCAGAAAGATCAGAACGCGAGCCAGGTCAAACACAGAGTCAGGGACGACATATAGACCCTATCAGCAAGCAGTTACGCTCTTTCGCTCCTACAGGGAATAATCGCAGCAGGGGATTAGATGGCTAGATTATCATCACGGTTAATTATATCGTATGCATATTGCTAGCTCCAAAGAAATTCAGTCTTGCTAGGGTTTAGAAGACGCATGTATTGTATAGACAATGGTCGCACAGCCTCGTCATGCTAAGGCATATTTGCCCATTTAATGACCCAGTGTCACAGTGCTTCCTGTGTTAGAGAGAGTGGATGAGTGTGAATTTTTATTCACTGGGGCAGTTGATAAAAAATTCACACTCAGCCTCAATCTTCATGGCACTCACAATAAGCGAGTAAAAATTTATGTTAATATATCGAAAGCCACCAAGAATAAGAGGGCGTTTACTGTTTGCGATAGTTATAATTCATAAGCCAGTGAAATCACTTTGTTTTACAGTTCTATGATTATCGCCTATTAACAATTCAAAACTTTGTTATACATTTTTACCACTAATGTGAAAATTAAACCAATTCATGGGCAATCTACAGGCTTAAACTCGGCCAGGAACATCTAGATGCACGGCTAGATTGGATAAGTGGAGCGCAATTTTTGTGTTAATTTTAAGAGAAAACGAATATCGATGGTGGTTCGTCCCATATGGAGCTTTACCCCTGAAATTTGAGGCTCTACGGTCGCCTAAACTTTCATGTATTGTTCAGAAGTACAACATCGTGATGGTGCACTGGCATGTGAATTTGCTGTGTCGCCTGCTAATACTTGAGGTTTTGACAGCACACTGTGAGCATCATTGACAATAGTAAAACGAGAGAGATATTTTGCTTGCTCTTCCAAATTTTAATTTATACATACATACATGTAGCAAAGAATAGACAGAAGAATCATTGTAGACATCAATAATCGATTGCCACATTGGTACCAAATTTGTAAGATAGCAAGAGCAGATATGAGAGGGAGAAAAGACTTAGAGAAGGTAGCGAGAAAGCTAGCAAAAGACGAGAAGAAGCGCGAGAGAGAGAGAGAGAAGAGAGAGAGAGGTGGGGAGGCGAATTGGATAGAGAGTTAGAGAAGAATGAGACATACACAGTAAAAATAAACAGTGTGGCTACATGTATGCTGCATGGTCAGTCAGCACACATCTAACTACCTGAGCATCAGAACTTAATCATTCCGATGGCCATATATTGGGCACTACAATAGACAGAAGAATGCATTGTAGACAAAGCAAGATCATTTGGGCAACATTGGGTAACAAAATTTGTAAGATAGCAAAGAGCGATTACTGAGAGGGAGAAAGACCTAGAGACGGAGCGAGAGGCTAAGGCAAAGAGAGGAGAGAGAGAGAGAGAGAGAGAAGAGAGAGAGAGAGAGAGAGAGAGAGAGAGAGAGAGAGAGAGAGAGAGAGAGAGGGGGGGTGGGGAGGCGAATTGGATAGAGAAGTTAGAAGAGAATAAGCTACACCGTAAAATCAACACTGTGCTACATGTATGCCTGCATGGTCAGTCACTACGGCACATAACTACTGAGCATCCAGACTGTAATCATTCGATGGCCCCATATATTGCACTACACGGGCTAAGTTAGTTTTGTGAGGGCAGTCATTTTCCATTGGCTGCATACTTCTCCAGTAGTTGTGGGCAGGCATTCGGCTTTCTACGTGTTTTGTGTGGCGGGCGTTGGTCCCTGATGACTTTTCTCGGTTAAAGCTGTTGGTGCAGCCTGACGAAGCGTCTGCTTCGCGTCTTAGCAGCGGCACTATGGCGGCTTAGAAAGTTAGCTTGCCTCTCGCCTGCATAGCTATTTATGCGTGTGTGCATCCTAAAATAATGATATGATAAACAAATCAGGATTAGACGCAGGGTAGAAATTAAACTTTTGAAGCACTAGGGAGTCCAATGGACTTGCCTGCCCCTCAAAAAGAGGGAGTCGCGGCAGAAAAAGTGGATATATGTTTCCATGCCATTGAAAACGGTGTCGCGGTGACGTCAAGTGTTAAGCGTCTACGCACCGGAACTCGGGCTATCTCCGAGTAAAGTTGCAGTGCTACAGCTAGCTGCTGATGGCTACGTCACGCACGATAACGCTGATGCGAAAAAACCTTAACCCTAACCTTAACCCTAACCCTAACCCTGAACGGCCTAACCTAACCGCTAACTCTAACCCTATACCCTAACCTAACCCTAAATAGTTAAAATGGATTAAAGAATAGAAAAATAGAAAATAGAAACAATAAAAATAATAAACAGATGGGATTCGAACCCAGCGAGCCTCAGAAGAAACGTCCGGCGCCATACGCGCTGGCGCTATTTGGTTTGCTCGACATGATGTATTTGGATAGTGCCCTATATGCATACATGGATGGGCGTGCGTGAATGTCTATGGTGGCTGTTTCTAGCCACTGAACGTCACACTGACGCACACGTGACATCACGAAAATCGGTCGGTGCGATGGAAAGCATATATCGCACCGGCAGGAAATGAGGAGACGGCAGTCTGAAAATTCAGAACTAAAGATAATTAACAATAACGCATGTGCTTATTTGAAGGTTCATGGCGGTTGCACATGCTCCAAATTTCTTTGATATTTGCTGGAAAAATACGGTAATTGCGTGGGGAGCTGTGCTGCTGTGAACGAACTGATAGTATCAAGAGCGTATTAAGAATGAGAGCAGTACTTGTAACGGTGAAAAATGGCAAAAAACCATGTGTAGTTTCAGTGTAAATTAGTAAACTTTAGGCGTTTTAATTAGCTGTTATATAAAACGGCAGACGCGCTTGTTTCTACGATGTCGGCCTACGCTGAGATATTAAGTGGTGAAAATCTAGTATTTTGCCGAAAATCGACTCGATTTCAGCTGCCGAGGCTTAATTAGCACATATTTTAGGCGAGGCATTTTAGCATGCCGTTATGTGGTCAGCGTTTTTTGTCAGTATTTAACCAATATATATACCTTGCAAGCGTCCATTCGTTTGTCGCTGAATGCTTAAAGCTGTAGACATTCCAGTTGATGGCTTCGCAACACTGACTTTGTGAGCCAGCTCTCACTGATATATCGTACACTACCAGCTGCTGTATGGAGATGATGACGCCTACTCTGCAATGTGCTCAATGCTGGCCCAATGTCCACTGCAAGGCAAGAAGGGAGGGCCATAAGACTCGCTTTATGTACGCGGTACTCTTGCCACGGAGATACTGTATGTTGACTTCAGGCCCAAGCTCCTGTTTGGATAAAGTTTTAATAGTCTACTTTGAAAAATTGAGTGTTGTTCCTTTTTGACTAAACATGCTAAATGTGTGATTCAAGTTATCCACATGTCCAAGAACTGATATTTTGTTAGATGAAAAAAAAATCACCTAAAAAATGTCAAAATTAATAGTACAAATGCAGAGCTAATTTTTAGCCCAAAATGCTGGAAATGGCATTTCATGAAGTCTAGTTTTCAAATTTTTTCTGGGGGGGCATGCCAACGAACACCCCTAGTTTGCCTCGTGACCTGCGGGCACTCCGATGCAAATCACACACCTCGGCGAGCCAAGGTGTGCGATTTTTCACTCGCCTGCTTTTTCCAAAACACAAGGACTGCCTGATATTATCACATCTGTTGTTCTAGACTCGCATCATTCCTGATCTGGTTGCTTGCAGGGTGCGGATATCTTCCAGGCGAGGGTCCACATTGAGGTTCAGTGGACGACAGAGCTCACCATTGCAGCCATAGAGCGTGCCGGCGGCGTTGTCACGACGTCTTTCTACGACCCGATCTCGCTGACCGCCTTGGTAAACCCCGAAGCGTTCTTCAAGACGGGCTCTCCGATCCCGCGCCGCATGCTGCCACCTGTAGACTGCGTCGAGTACTACACGGACGCGCGGAATCGCGGGTACCTGAGCGACCCGGGGAAGGTGGCAGCATCCCGCGCCGAGCTGTCACAGCGGTACGGCTACGCGCTGCCCGACCTCACGCAGGACCCGCATTACAAGATGCTGACGACGGACAAGGACCCGAGACAGGTGTTCCGCGGACTGGAGCCGGGCTGGATCGTCAACATGGCAGACAAGGTTGTGCTGAAGCCCACGGACGACAAGTGGCAGCACTATTACAGGTCGTAACGCTCTCTGTGCACGCCGAATATGAACAGTCGTGCGTAGTTGCCCGTGCGGCGGCATCCGATGACAAGTGACAGCACTATTACAGGTCGTAATGCTCTCTGTGCGCGCCGAACATGAACAGTCATGTGTAGTTACCGGTGCGGCGGCGGCGGCGTCAGATGACAAGTGACAACACAATTATAGGTCGCGATGCTCTCTGTGCATGACACATGCTTCATCATGTGTAGTTACCGGTGCAGCGGTGTCAGCAGCGCACGCCAGTAAGCTACCTGCGTTGCCGTCGTCGTGTATGCCAGTATGCAAGCATGTAGTTTATATGATCATTTGTTACTGTGTATGTGAGTGTGCACTGGCAAGAATTGGTAGTAAACTCGGAACAAATTCTTCGTAACGTTTGCGTATACTTTATTCTTTGTACAGTTGTTTTGAGCTCAAATATAACTACAAAATCAAAATGTACAAAATGTAATGTACAAAATCATAATGAAAGAGTCACCAGGTAAAATAATGAAAACAGTGTGACATGCCATTGTTCATATTAACATGAATCTGTCCACTGTGAATGAATTGCACACATAGGTAAAACCATTCCAGCATTAAAATGGCACGTTCTCGCAGCAAAATGCATAGATATACCTACTGTGAGCTCGTCTGTTGCAAAAATTCACTACAACTCATTTGTATTGCTACTTTCATAACATTTCTTCAGCAAACCTAAACAGTCTTACGAAACTAGTACTTTCGAATGTTTACAGTGTTTACATATGCGGGACATAGCCAAGTGATCACAGTTTTCATTAACAGTTCTTTTCTATGATAGAACAAGTTATAATTAATTATTTGATGATTGTTCAGTACAAAATTGGAAAACTTGTTTAAATCGTGTTATTCACATTACTTATGCAATCAGCAAACAAATAATTATAGTCTTTTCTTTCCAGGAACTATTTGCGCTAGCGTAGGCCTACTGTTAGTGTTCTCAGTTGCATCGCTCTATGTGTATCTGTACGCCGAAACTTTGTCTGACAGAGTTTTAAAAATTGTCAGCTTCGGAGCACATTTCTGGCTCAATAAGAACATTTCCTGATGTTTGCATACTGCAAGTATGCCCACAGTAGGTGTATATAAGCTTTTTGTTGCGAGGTTTATTCATTTTAAAGAATCTAGTCTATATTATTTTGCATGAAGTTCATGGCATTACATAAACCAACCCCCTCAACTCATATCATACAAAGACAGTTCTTACGTATGTACAGTAAAAATAAAACAACAACAACATGCCATTGCACCATTCAAGCAAACCATTCTTGCTGACTCCTTGCCTACTTTAACTTGCATATCTGTCAAGAAATAAGAATGGTAACAGCTCATTACTGACAATAGACACGTTCACAGCAGTATTATAAATGTTTCAAGCAATGTTTGCAGCAAGGAGTGACAATAGTTACTGGCTTCATGCATCTCTACAATCCACCAATGCTGTGCTGTGACTCTTCAAATAAGTTTGTCTTATGATCAGATGGGTTGGCACGTGCTTCATATGAACATATCGTCACTTCATGGCGGTGTGCCTGCAAACAACGGCAACGTGAATATATTACTTGAAACATTAGCTACCCATAGTACGAACACGTAGACCTAGTTTTCAGTTTTCACTATGTAATAACCTTATCCTATTGGCTACTGTCTATACCATTGTGGAGTCTGGAAACACCCCAGAAAATTGTGCTGAATGTTAAGAGCATTGAATTCATGTGCAGTCATGAATTGTTCAAAGGGTTTAAATCCCACTATCAAAAAATGAGATTTTGACTGCAGAGTATTTTACAAATAATTTCATTCCTGTTAAATGTCCTCTGTAAAATTCCTGATGAATAACCGTATATTAAAAAGACGAGCAAGCCAGAGAAGTAAACCTAACCCTAACCCTAACCCTAATCCTAACTCTAACCCTAACCCTTGTTTACTTGAGATAACGCTAAAAATTAAAAACTGCCGGGCATTTAGGAAATCGAAGACCGTGCCCGGCAGCCGTCAGATATACGCCGGCTGCCGGGCATATAGCCACTCTGTTATTATAACCACAGCCAGGCACTTGGGCTGAGAGGGTCTATAGACTAGTACTAGTAGTAGTACTAGTAGTATAGTATAGGCGCGTTCACACGGAAGTTTTTGGCCCGAGCCTAATTACTAAATTAGGCCTGTGCCAGATTTGGCTCGAGCCGAGCGTTCACACGGACGTTTTTGGCCCGAGCCTAGTTAGGCCTGAGCCAGATTTGGGCTGCGGGACTATTCGGCCTATAGCCGAACCGGCCCCTTACGAGTTCGGCCCATAACAGACTCGGCCGATACGGACTCGGCCCATAAAAATTTAGTTACGTTGAATCCAAACCTTCTCGATATATTTAAATTATTGCCATATAGAGATATGTGTTTTCCTCAACCATTAACAAGTTTATGTGGTGTTTATCATAATCATGGTTATATGACAGTAATAATGACGTCGATCGTAATAATGACGTTGTATCATTGTATGGCGTTAAAAAGATGGCTGCGGCCACTCACACACTGGCTTATGATAGTAAAACCTACGAAATGATAATAAATGTGCGTAGTAGTAGTAGTAGTACTAATAAGTAATAGTAATACTAATACTAATAGTATTACTCACAGTCACTGACAGTGACTGTAACCCTACTCTCGTTGGGTTATATTATTGTATAGTATGTGTATGTTAGCTCCAAGAAACGGTATTGCTAGGGTTAGCATACCCTAGCTCTAATACTATAGCCCGCTTACATTAACTGCCGCTGCCAGCGGCAGTTAATGTAAGCGGGCTATAGTACTAGAGCTAAGCATACCCCTGACGTGTATATTGACGTCAGTCACACAGCCTGGTCGGGTTAGGTGTATGTTAGCTCCAAGAAACGGTCTTTGCTAGTGTTAGAAGACCGTGTGTATATTGACGTTAGTCACACAGCCTGGTCGAGCTAGGTATATATGTATGTTGTAATATGTAGCTATCCACAAGTTACGCTGATAGGGTCTGTCTCCCTGACCTCTGTTTGACCTGGGTCGTTCATATCTTTCTGACTAATCCTAACTCTCGGTAACTATCTGATATGGTTAGGGTTACCGTTAGTCAGAAAGATCAGAACGAGCCAGGTCAAACAGAGGTCAGGGAGACATAGACCCTATCAGCACAAGTTACCTCTCTTTGCACACAGGGAATAATCCACAGGGGATAGATGGATAGATATCACGTTAATTATATCGTATGCATATTGCTAGCTCCAAGAAATTCGGTCTTGCTAGGGTTAGAAGACATGTATTGTATAGACAATCAGTCGCACAGCCTCGTCATGCTAGCATATTGCCATTTAATGACCCAGTGTCACAGTGCTCCTGTGTTAGAGAGAGTGGATGAGTGTGAATTTTTATCACTGGCAGTGATAAAAATTCACAATCCTCAATCTTCATGCACTCACAATAAGCGAGTAAAAATTTATGTTAATATTCATCGAAAAGCCACCAAGAATAAGAGGGTTTACTGTTTCGATAGTTATAATTCCATAACCAGTGAAATCACTTTGGTTTTACAGTTCTATGATTATCCTATTACAATTCCAAAACTTTGATACATTTTTACCACTAATGTGAAAATTAACCAATTCATGCAATCTACACTTAAAACTCCCAGGAACATCTAGATGCACCTAGATGGATAGTGGAGCGCAATTTTTGTGTTAATTTAAGAGAAAACGAATATCGATGGTGGTTCGTCCCATATGAGCTTTACCCCTGAAATTTGAGCTCTACCCCTAAACTTTCATTATTTTCAAAGTACTAACTCGTGATGGTCACTGGCAATGTTGAATTTGCTGTGTCGCCTCTATACTTGAGGTTTGACAGCACACTGTGACATCATTGACAATAGTAAAACGAGAGAGATATTTTGCTTGACTTCCAAATTTTTATTTATACATAACATACATGTACAAAAATAGACAGAAGAATGCATTGTAGACATCAATATCGATTGCAAACATTGGGTAACAAATTTGTAAGATAGCAAGAGAGATATGAGAGGGAGAAAGTTGTGAACGAGGCGATAGATACTGTGTGAGTATGCACCCGCTGATAAAAAATTCCAATCATAGTGAGAAAACGTGTCAGTTCTTTTCTCGAAGCTATCAAAACTAACCGAGAAATGATGGTGCGTTGCATAATTCACTAACGTCGCCTGTGATACATACCTGTGTGAATTCCCCCCTCAAGCCCATGTAATAAACTTTCGTCGTGTCGGCACCAAAGTTTTTTGGAAAGTAGATCGATAGGTGAGTTGTACTTGAAAACTTTACAGGCCTGCATCGAAATGATTGCACCACATTATCTCAACTGAAACTTGCTCAATGGTTCAAATGTACATGACATGTCCACTTCTAGTATAAAAGCACATTATAAGCAACACATGCTTACTGCCAGTATGTGTTACATGTTAGGGACATCTATTCAAACCATTATTATTTTATTGTCAATAATCGTATTACGAAGTATGAAATGACAAAATGCCTTTAATTCGACATAATGACATTTGGTTGTTGTCCTGACCATATTTGAATGGACTCCGTAACCGAGTAAAAATTTAAACACGTCTTACTTTGTTGCATATTCCAAAACACCTTCATAGTCTGGCTGCATCTCAAACTCTTGATCTGGTGCTACAGTAACATCATCAAATGTCATGTGTGGTCTATTTTTGTATCTGTAAGATCAGAAATAGAAATAGATACAAAATGCCCATAATTTGTCATTTACTATGAAATAGTGTACATGCTAAAGTCAAAGCTGTACATGACAAAAGCATAATCTCGAACACTTTCATTTAATCTAAATATTTTCATTTTTTGCCTACTATTGCTACTGCCAACTGCTACATCCACTTATTACTACTACCACAATCTATCACCATTAAAAACTCTGTCAGAGTCCTGGAAATTGGCCTGTGTCAAAAGCTCGATAATTTCTACCAAAATTTTATATTAAAATGTCTCTGACATAGTCTTTGCATCTGTTTTAAGCATTACATACATTTATGTGGATTTTTAACAAATATATGTTTTTTTTAAATAGCTAAACCACCACAATTCTTTGACTCAAAGAGTTTTAGCACTGATAAATTTTTGCTATCACTACTCATGAAGTTGAAAGCAAACTGCAAAGTGAACATACAGCTTCATAGCTGAAGGGTGAGTTTCATCTTCACCACCGATTACAATAATCCCCTTTAGTTTCACATTGCCAGTAAATCTGCGAAAAAAATAAATTAAAAATCACATTAAAACATGGCAAAGAAACAGCTGCAATCCACGTTTGATATAAAGGAATTGTCAGGCCAATACATTATAAGGTAGCATAAAGTTGGGATATATGTATTCCCTTCCTTTACCACTAGCACACTTCATAACCCAATTGTTATTAGATGTCATTGATATTAGGTTACTGCAGATCATTGGCACAAAAACAAAATATAGAAACTCCATGACCATTTTGATCTCACTTATAGTTATATGATTACTCCAAACAACCACAGGTCTACTGATACAGCGTTTCATACTTACGGTATATTAAACAGCAATTCCTCATCACAATCACTTTCAACAAACTGCAAGAGTATGAAAACAAAACATTACCAACCAAGAATACTGCATAACAGATCATCTCTGCTGCTGACTTGGAGGCGATTAAGTCCTAAAGTAGCATTTTCATGACCAAGTCAAGTGCATGCCTAGCTCCAAGAAACGGTCTTGCTAGGGGTAGAAGACTGCAGTATAGACAATCAGTCTCACAGCGTCGTCGGGCTAGTGCACGCCATGCCTGGCTCAAGGATAGAGAGAATGTCCAGTAATAAACATCATCCTATCCAATCACCGTCCTGGACATCATCTCTATCCTTGAACCCCATGCCCCATGGCAGCAGAAACAGGGTAACAAGAATAGTTTTATATGACAATGAAAGTGTCAATGACACTGTAGCTCACCACAAAAAAGGACACAAATGAGTGAGTGAGAAGAAGTCAGTTTTAATTGAGCAACCATCGACGTACATTATAGAAACAAAGAGTATATATGGGAGAACTCCCATTATATACTCTTGATAATTATGTGTAATTTTTTATGTGAAAATAAATGTTTCAGATGTGAAAGTCTGAGATGTGGGCGAGTGATGGCGTTAAACCTAAATGACCGCCATTTAACGTTTTTATAATATTCAGATTTAGGCACTGCCTTAAAAGCCGCGAGCTCCGCGAATGTGCTGTAACGTGTGTAAGATTGAGCAGATGATACGCTTATTCACGTAGCTGCACTCATTACCATGTGACAATGGTTTCCACTTTTGCCCATAAAGCCACAACTTTGTCAAAAGCGTTAAAATGTGCCGTTGCATGGAGTGTTACTTCATATGAGCTTTTCTAGGCGGTAATTAGCACACTAGGTTGCCATCTGTATATCGCAATAATAATTTGATATAACCAAAAATGAATAATAATTTGGACAGTAGATGGCCGCTATTACCCGCTTTGAGTTCTTAGCAATGCGCGTTTCGCAAATAAATTGTTATTAGCCTGCGTTCGCATGTTTTGTATAACGCTTACTCTAATATAGACATTTAATCCGCCAGGCGTTGGAGCAGGAATACCAATTTTGCATATAAAATATTGTCAATGAAATCTTGTAAAACACAAACCAGACGAGTGTGACACCACAGACGTTTGTTACCTGCGTAGATCTTACTCAATATGCATATATAATGCCAAACCATCCTAATTTGCCATTATTTTATTTTTAATATCACAACCCTAACCCTATTCATTCACATACACAAAAATGAGCCAAAATCCGTTGTCACCTGAACTGGATGAATGGCAATTCCCATTTTTTTGCCAAAAAATTGCCGCCTGGCCATCGAAAAGTACTGTCGACTGGCGTCGCTCAAATAGACGTTTCAATATGGGAGCATAGCAGTAACAACTATACCCAATTTCAAACATGGTGGGACCAAACGGCATTCTGAGTATATCGTTGACCGTAGCCAAATGTTTGACGGAAGACAGGCGGACAGTGCACGGACGACGCGACGATACAACCACCTGGCAATAGCTCCAGCTGACGATGTCGAAGCGTGCAAGCTAAAAAACTGAGATAAAAATCATTATATGATGCACCAGAACTGAGATTGGCATCATTTCATGATACTTGTATTTGATTGGCTGCCGCACTATGTGCATACCATGATAAAGTCGCCGTTGTGCCAGACGGCAATGAACATTAATTATATATTACATATAATATTAATACTTATCCAGCGGTAATGCACTAATTACATGTAATGTACCAGATCTGAATCCACCGTACATACCTTAGTTTGTTTTCATTTACGTTGCAAATAGGAAAATGTGTTTCTGACCATTTACTATTTTTAAATGAAATAGAAATAGAAATGGGTTTCTGATCTGTTTCCTAATTTTAAAAGTCTAAATAGGCAAAATGGGAAAGTGGGTTTCTGATATCTGTTTCCTATTTTAAAAGTCTAAATAGAAGAAATGGCCGGTTTTCTTATCCGTTTCCTATTTAAAAGTCTAAATAGGAAATGGAAAAAAGAAAAAGACAGGTGTGTACCGTGTACCGCGGTGCACGGTGCATGTACCGCGCGTGTAGCGTGCGTGTACCCGCATGTATGTGCGGTGATATCCCGCGCTGTACTGTGCGTAGTATCCCGCCAGATGGGGAAAAATACACGGGGGCGGGCGGCAGATTTCGCCCCCCGAAATGCCAAAAAGAGCCCCCGAAAGATGATAAATCGGGGGCCGACCCCAAAAGCACATGTCGGCGGTATTGGAAATCGATTTGTCAGCGTCGGTCCCGCGCCATTGCCCGCCTCTCGCTCGGCCTCATGCCGCTTAGCCTGGCAGCCGGTTCCACGGGCGAGTAGAATTCATTGGTTACGGTGTGATGTCAAGTGGTTACCATTAAGCATTGCATGTTGTACTGTTACTGTATTGCATTCAATCATGCGCGCGCGCCGCCGCGGTATATACGTGTGTGCCTCGGCGCCGCATGCTTGGCTGTGTGCCTGCGTCGCGCGGTGCATGCATCGTGTCGATCTGTGTGATTGCCGGTGTTGCCTGCTCGGCCCCGCGTGCTTGCGTGTGTGCCTGCGGATCCCAGTGTTTGCGTGTGTGCCTGCGCACGTGATGGTGTGCTCTGGTGCTGTGCGGGCGTGCCTACGTAACCCGTAAGACCAACGACCCGGTAGGATTAATAGAACGCGTAATCCCATGCGAAAATCCTAATGAATTCCCACGATATTATTTTCCCTGGCGGCACACTCAGTTGTGTCATTCCCGATTGTAGGCTTTTTTGTCAATTCCCCGAAAGAGTTTAGCTTGTCAGGCTCTCTCATAGTCCAGCAATTGTGCCAACCCTCTATATTTATTAAGTTCGATTGGTACCACGTGAAACAATTGCTGCCTCCCGCCCCCCCCAACCGGACTTCAATCAAATGCCGCTCCCTGCCAGGGCAGGCACGTACGCAGCGTCGAGGTTGACAGCGCCATTACACAGCGTGCCTCGCAGGCCTCTTTCTCTGCACTCTCAGCCGTCCGTTACGCAGGTTCCTAGACCCAGCCGCAACAAGACTTCGCATATTAAACATATCGATCCTCCTCGTCGTTACAGGAGACACTCCCACTATTTTGCACGCTAAGCCGTAATGAGCTTCTGTGTTTAGTCTGAACCGGTGATGTAATTCCACATATTCAGGTGCATTTGTGGTTGTGACTTGTAGAGTTGTGATTATTCATGTCTAGTCTGTCAGTCTGCGCATGAATAACTGTCTTGATATTGACGAATGTTCTTTGTTTTGTCTGTATACAAGCTTGCCCCAAAAATTGCCGTGGGTGTGTATGTGTCTGTGTGTGTTCTGTGGTTCGGGACTTGTGTCTGTGTGTGTGGTGTGTGTGTGTGTGGCTGTCTGTGTGTGTGTGCGCGATCCGATCTGACGCTCCCTCCGCTCAAGTCTCCGTGCGGGCACATCGTGAAGGCGCATGGCCACGTGCCCAGCCGTCACTACGTGCGGAACGATTCTAACATCGACCCATCGTTCGGGACGTGTGGAGAGAATGACGCAGCCGCCGGGGCCGAGCTCGACCGATCGGGTTGGTGTGGGTGTGTGTGCGTGCAGTGCGACGTTGTGTGTGGTGTGTGCGCGCCCGCCGCGAGTGTGTAAGATTAGCCTACTGTACTTGGTGTAACACATGAGAAAACAGACCTGAAAAAAGTCGTGCTGGGAAAGTGGAAAAAGAGCCCTGGAAAATGAAAAAGCTTTGCCCCGAAATTTTAGTCGCGCGAGTTTCAAAAAGGCCCCGGAAAGAAAAAATTAATTATTTTTCACTGGTACCCGCGTGCACGTGCGCTGTACCCGCAGTCTTGTGCGTGGTATCCGCGTGTACGTGCGTGTACCCGCTCCGTGTACGTGCGATGTACCTGCGTCGTGACCGTGCGTGTACCTGCGTGTACGTGCGTGTATCTCCGTGTACGTGCGCTTACCAGCGAAAAAATAACACGGGGAGCGGCGAGCGGATTTTCGCTCCCGTCAGCTGTTCAAAGCGCGTTGGTAACAACAATTACTGAGGATGACTGCAGAAAATTATTGGAAGATACGAGAAAAAATCGCTCCCGTCCGCAGGGCAGCGTTAGAAAGTGAGTGGCCGACCCGCGTAGGCCCGGGAGCCACCAAAGTTTTTGTGAACTCGGCCAATAACAATAAGTTTTTAATATCGCAGGAGGCGGGGTGGTTAAATTATCTGCAACGTGGGGATGAGGGCACGACCAGTGACACCAGACACACGCTAGTAACCAAGCTGTTAACTGATATTCGTC